AATAAAGTGAGGACCTGAGTGATTATGACTCAGGTACACGTTCCTTAGTATTTGCTAATCAAAGCCTGACATTAACATTTTGACATAGTCTTAGATTCAGTTAGATCACTGCTAAAACTTACAAACTCAGATCAGAATTGATCTAAGATTCATTAATTGACTAATTTTAATGTAGAAAACAGTCATTTTGGCTTTTGAGAAGCAGATTTTTTAAAAAAACAAATCTGTCATTTGTTGCAGCTCTTCACACACAAGAACTGTCAGGGTAGCTAATTGGGGTGGTTTGTTTTTTTCTGTTTTTGTTATCTCTATCAACTTTGAAACATACAAAGTTCAGCCATTTGTTAAAAAAGAATTCAAAACTCTTTTACCATAGTATGATCTCTTTAGCTTGGAGAAGAGCAGTACAGTGTTTTCCAGGTTTAACTTCTAGGCATAAACATACGCTGTTGGCTGAGCCTGTTCAGGAGTGTTTAGCATCCATTCCAAGAAAAGCTTGATATTAGCCCCAACATAAGAAGTGTCTGAATACTACTTCATTTTATTGATTGCTGCTTTTCATTTTAATGCTCTTTTCATCATTACTTGAGGTCCTCATCCAGTCATTTTTTTGGCTTTGTAAACAGCAAATGTTGGCAGTCTGTAGAGATCACTGTTTATGATGCAGACAATATAATCATGTACCAAGTAAGAATAAGTATACAATGTATTGCTTCAGTTGTGCGTAAACTAAACCTTTTTGAAACAAATCTGGCATGGCATTTAGTTTGCACTAAAATGAGATGGAGAGGGTGGGCATGAATGTGTTCTGTAGTTGAAATATCTTCTGCCTGCCTGCAAGGATTATGTGGATTCCTCAAGCTTTCTAGGGATAAAGCCAAAAAATAATATATATTGTTGCATATTTTATCTGCTGGCATAGAACCATTTCTCCGTTTACTATGGTAGGAAAAACTGAAAACTAAAGAAAAAGCACTATTAATAATAATGAAGGAAAATTAAACGGCATATTGTCCAACAGAAAGTGTGGCAAGGACTCCTGTGCTCTTCATGCTACAAGGTGGAGGGGGAGGCCAAGAAAGAGAAGTCCCCACCAGCCTGTCCCAGCCCTCCTGCCAACCGCCTGCTTGGCCCCATAGCTGAGAAATGGGCGTTTGCAAATAGAATCCAAAGAGGGCTCTGCGGTAAAGGGATGCGGGAAGAAAAGGCAATGTAAATTTTTCTGGGTGCACTTACTTGCTCAGAAAATGAGAAGGGTCTATTCAGTGTGTGTACCATAGTATTTCCTAGACCCCTGAGTCCCGCACTGCTAGAGCATCAACTAATCCAGGTGAAGATGATCCACAGTTGGAAGTCAGTAGATGATACAAGGGAAGCACATGGACAAACACATACACAAATAAACACAATAGGAGTAAGCAGACAAATGTGTTATAAAAAGAGATATAGGTATGTTTTTCTAAATTTGCTAAACAGTGATGGAAATATTTCCTTACAAACTGTAGTCAAATCAGATAAAACGTGAGGTAGTCGCTACATTTGTTTATGCTGAATCGCTGTCAATACTGTGTTGTGAAATGCATCTAGGCAAAGTTTCCAAAGGAATATCAGGACCATTAGACATGGGGTTTCTTTCTTCTGGCAGCCTTGGTCCAGTGCTGTTTTTCTAGGCTTTGCTGTTGCATGAGGAAGAACTGACGGCAGCCTGAGAATTTTGCCGCCTGGGAACAAAATCTAGTTGTTCAAGAGCTAAACTGCAGCTCTCCAAGTCTATGTAGGGTTTTTCTAGATCTGCCATCACCATAGTAGCCGAATGTTGAATCAGATAAATTAAGTCAGCATGGGGCTAATCAGTCTTCATAGCTGACAGTAGCTTTTATCCTTCCCATCTTTCTACAAGTGTTGCTATTGAGCTTCCTGCATCCAATGATTATTTGCCAAGTGGTTTGAGCAGCACAGTAAACAAGAAGAAAATACCAGTTGTTGCTGTTGTTGCCTCAAAACGTGAGAAAGTTTGGCACAAAGGGCCAAATCCTCCTGATCTTTCAGAGCAGAGGCAGCTCTTGGAATATGGCCCCCTCACCTGTAAGTGCCTCAGGTTCCCTTCTGCAAATGCAAATTTTACTTCAGTTTGCATAAGAGATATGTAAGCAAGAGGCATTGCTACTATACTGCTTTGCACTATTAATGGTACCTTACTGCTTATATGCAAAAGGAAACCCTGCTGACTAGTGTCCTTTCAAAACGTGACGTTTTGTTCCCAATAGTGGCATAATGTTTTTTCTGAAGTTCAATTTACTGAATTGTTCTTTAAGTTTTAAAATGAAATTATTTGGATTGCAATTTGAGACTAGATAACGGCAGACTTATAAATGATACTTTAGTCAAAGTCATGGCACCCAAATTATTATTTATGCTAAGCTTTGAGATAGGCTTTGTTCTTAGGGAGCCAAGCTATTACATATTTCCCTCTTAATCTGCTCGGTATTCAGATTTCACTGCCAGCTGGAATTAAATATTAGAGATTTTCTTTGTTGCTGTAGAGTTGAATTATTACAGAGATAATGATTATTGAATATTTCAGCATACATCCTGTACTTAATCCATTTAACATACACTAAATGGAGCCCAGATTGCAGTACCAAGAACAAGTTTCTAATTGTTTTAATCTGAAAGATGAAGAAGACTTGAGGTAAAGAGAATTCAATTAACAAAAGCAAACCTATATATTAAAAAGGTATGTTTTTTCTTTTTGCTTTATAGCATTGTGAAAAATCATCCTGTTGCAAATACAGAATGCATAGTTAAATTTTAATATTTCCAGGAAAAAAAACATTTTAAGCATATATTTTTGAGAATGTGCATTGCTAGTGGAAAACATAGACCCATGCATCTGCTTATGCCATCAGGTTGTTTTGCCTCTTGTTTTATGCCTGAGTGCTGTTTCCCTTAATTACCCCTGTCCTGCCAGGAGTATTTCCAGAGACATGAGCACGGAAACAGAGGCAACGTTGCAGAGGCTGGCTTCATGAAAGGTAGCAAACAATGTCAGTGCCCAAGTTTTAAAAAACTGAAGACCCCTTATCTCCACACTGACAACAGAGCTAGAGGTCTGGGGGAGCTCTGCGGTCCTGCTTCTGTTATCAGGAGCTGCACCCTGTCTTTGGCAGGCACATTAGCATCGTGCCTCTAGGCATGACTGACTCATAATTAAAACTAACCAGGCTTCCCCATAAACATGAAGCAGGTCTCTGTGTGAGCCTCTGAGGCTACTGAAACCAACCGAGGGCTAAGGGGGGATAGCTAAAGTTGGTGACAGACTGACCGCTCTGAAAGTGTGGCCACAGAGCTGAAATAAAAGCAGCAGCCTGCATAGACACTGAAGACTTGGTTTGCTCTGTTTTCTTTTGTTTCAAATAAATTACAAAGATCTTGTTTCAATAAGATTTTTGTTTAGTTTAATTTTAGATTTTCCTTATAAAGTTATTTTCCATGTAGGAAAAAAAATCAATGTAGGAAATTTTAGGTCCAATTCACATTGTGCAATTCTACCATTCTAACGAGAGTTAAACCTGATTTTTCATAACTTCAAAATTGTGGAAACAATGAGAAGGATTCTTACTGTAAATAGGAATCAACTTATACCATCTCAAACTTTGGGTGCGTGTGTGTGTGTGTGTGTGTGTGCGTGTGTGTGTGTGTGTGTGCAGAGATCCATATGTGTTAATACAGAGATGATCAAGACATGTTCTGTTAAAATTTGCAGGATCCAAATGTTATTTGAGGTGTGTGATTGAAGGATTTGAAACTGCACTGTGTGCAGCTACCCCATGTGACAAAGGTTGAGTATAAAGTCATTCCCTAAAAGTGAATAATCTTGACTCAGTCCTGAAACTCCTTTCTTTGTTCTCCTTTCCTGCCATTTCTTATGTCTTAGATGAACGTTCATAAACCCAGCCTCTGACAAGTTCTTCCCAAGAAAGAGATGTTTTAATTCTAGCCTTATGACTCATGCCCTGCCATTCCCGGCCCAGGCCAGAGAGAATACAGGAGATGATCCATAGCCTGTTGACTTCAATAGGCCTTGATCCAAGGGTATATATTACATGTTTCTACGTGATAATTGAAACATTAACTTGTGAAGACTAGCCCTAACTCAGTGAAATATGCCTTACATCCAATAAGATTTTCTCCCTCCGTAAGAAAGATGCTAAGCAAAAATGGGAAAGAGAGTAAGGCTTCATTTGTTCCAAATGTCTGTGCATATGAAATATGGTGATGAGCTCCCATGCCACACAGTGTAAAAGCAAAATTATACATTGTGATTTTCTCTAGCCTGTTGGCAACAAGCCACATAAATTATAAAATAGACTGAGGTGGAGGAAATCGAATCATGAAATAATCAGAGCTCACAGTAAAATATCCCCATTAAGATAATGTATTTAAAACTGCATCATTCTACTGCACCCCTACATTTTAATGTAGCTTCTTCTGCATATATTTTAGTTCACTGGTGCCAAAAGGAAAATGACCTTTAAGAAAGGGCCATTGTCTTGGTTTTGTCACTTTCTCTCTCCTACTGCATTTTCTTAATTTTATTAGTTCAATCCCTTGGTTTTGGTACCTCACCTCTTCATCTTGCTGTTTCCTTAGACTTCAAGTCAAGACAGATGAATACACCACTGCTTTTAACAAGTGGGCATTTTTGCAGTGAGCCCGGGATTTCTTTGTCCGTCCAGCTTTTCATTTTTACGCCGACTGACAGAGGGCACACTAATATTTTCAGGAGTCTATAGTCATGCCATACAAATATTAATTTAGACTGGATGCAAGAAGTCCATCGCCCTGAAATTATTTTCTTCTAATAATATTGTAATCAAAGGGCCAGATTCTCAACTGGGAGTCTGAGGCATTCAAGGAAATACATCAGTCAGCGTACCCAACATCTTTGTACTTGCTTGCATTGTATTCAAATGAAAAAAAGACAGAAATAAAGCATAAAAGTTTGACTACTTTATTTATTGTGCCTTTTTTCTCCAAAACCAAGTTGGGCAAATTCTTACACGTTGCACTGATGTGGACAGTACCTGTTTCATTTTGGAGTAAGACAACAATGTAAAGCCCATTGAGCAGTAAGATGGTTCAGGCTTAGAAATGATATTAAGCTTTGTCTTACTGTGTTAACTTTGTAAAATTAAGGAAGTCCCTTGTCCCACATTGTCTGAGCTGTTAATGTATTTTCAGGAATATACCCATATTCTAATTCAATTTCTGAGAATGATGATGGAGAAAATAACCCCTGAGAAATCTCCTCCTCCCTTCTCTTACCATGTCCAAAGCTTTGCTGTAAGCACAACAAAAATTGAACCCTATGAGTCTAGCTTGCCTAACTCTTACTCAGACCCAGCTACCATGGCAAGAACATTCATAGTTAAAGCTGAAACTTCATCCTTAACTAATCTCGCAATAGTAACATGGTCAGCTATGAGTACGTAAGCAGATTCCATGGCATATGTTACAAATACATAAGTAAAAATATGCCATTTAGCTGGATGTTTTTATGACAGTTTGGTTTAGAAGCAAGACCCCTACAGAAAACCTGTTGGGAAGGAACCCTGAGAAAACACTAAAGAACCACAGTCTTCCCTCTGCAAAAAGTTATTAAGAAATACTTTTTCAAAGTCAAAAATTGTTCTGATTGAGACAGGGAGTGGTCAGAGAAAGAGTAGTTAATGCAGAGAACCTCCTTGCCCCCTACCACCTTGACACACACGCACACGCACACACACACACACACAGGCTTCTCTGTCTTGTAAGAGTTATGGATTCTTGACTATAAATGTCAACTAAATTTCCTTATGGATTCCTGACTATAAATGTCAACTAAATTTCTGTATGGTAACACTGTCTGTTGTCTGTTGTCTGTACTGAGAGAACACACAAGTGCAGGAGCACCCCTCTTTGTACGACGATGAGCAAATCTGGCAATAAAAACAATTACTCTTTTTACTTAGTGGATTTAAAACTCTTAGCATGACTTCAGTGTGATTTTGGTATGACTTCTTATGCAAGAAAGCAAAATCAAACAAACTGGGGCCAGCTTCTGAACTCCTTGTCCCTAAAACCATTGGGAGCTTTGTTTCAACAAGGAGTGCGGAATTTGACGCTGACGAGAGCAAACGCTAGCAGCTATGACACCAGCTGGCCTCAGTGCCATGGAGCCGTTAGTCGAACCAGTGATCCCCCATGCAGGTTCTGTTCCACTCCAGGCCACAGTTCCAGCACCACTCGAACCTGCACTGAGGGCGAGGACACTTCATGTGCATGCAGCCACCTGCAAAATAGAAAAAGAAAGGCTTTGGTACTTGAAAAATACTTTAAAGGGATGTCAATCAACGATTGATTGTTTTTAAATCAACTTCTCAGGTGTTCATTTATTAACCAAGAAGAATATTTAATAAATGAGAATAACAAACCTGAAGAATACGTTTCCTGGGCTTTATAAAGCCTGTTACTCCCTCTCTTATTTGGATGTAACCTACTGGTCTCACTTGAGGGACTGCAGGAGTGCACTTCTGTCTGACCTTTGAAGAGACTGTGCTAGGGACAGGGAAAAGTGGTGACAGTCTGGCATCTCAAAACAATCGTGGAGATAGCTGCTCAAGCATCCTCTACCTTGATCTAGCTGGGAGGCAGAAGTTGCTCAGAATTCAATTCTTTTCTTGAATTTGGATTGAAAAGCTGAGAGATTTGCAAAGAGAATTAATCAGGATACGCGGATTTTAATGGCTGACTGCCGATTACATCAAAATGATACTAGTAATTTAAGTTTACTTGACCTTCTTTATATCTAAAGCAGCCTTTTGATCACATCGTTTCCTGCATGTTGTTTCTTACTAGCCCATACTGTGAGAGCAGCTTTAATCTCTCTGCTAACAGCCCGCATCAAATGTTTATTTTGTAATATATAAAATATTAACATTGTTAAAGGTCATTACAGAAACGTCCTTCAATTGGGAATCATGTTGCTTGCCACACAAAGAAAGCTTTTGTATAATTCAAACTGAAATAAAGCCATGCAGTGTGAAGAAATGCTACTATCTCTTCTTCTGTGAGAATTGCAAATAGCTTCAACTCCAGATGGTGATAGGATGTACAAGGCTTGTGTATCCCCTACTGTACAACGTGTTATCCTTACACAACTTTTCCTATGATGCTACTCCAGAGTGATCCTCAGAAGGTAAAAAGGACAGGAGACACAAGAAGTGATCTGTTAAAATAGGCCTATCTGCTTCATCTGACAGAGGGAGGGAGCTAGCTGGGATGGCCAGGTCTACTTGCCAATTTATACCTTTGTGTAAGTGGTGCCATTCACTGAACATTTTGTCTTGTTTAAATGTAAGTGTACCAAAGGCCAGCCTCCCATGTTATACTTTACTTAAAGTTCAGATCCAGTCCTCTCTTAGAGTTCGTGTTAAGCCACCACCGGATAAATTGCATCTCAGGCCTGGAGCAAGTGCCAAAGCCTAATAGGTGTCTTCTGTCAAAAGCATGCTCTACCCTGCTCTGCCACATGACTCATGTTACTCCCTGCTACACAGCAGCTGAGATCAGCAAGCAGAACGGAGAGTGCCTCAAGCAACGTGGGCCACAGCTTGGTGGGTGAGTACAATCATCTTCTGAGAGATGGGGATGTGTGTTCAATACCACTCAGGCTGTGAGAACTGAGCTGGAGTGTGTCACTCTTTCTCTTAAGCTATTACAGAAAAGTTACTGGCATATAGAAGTGCACTCTATTGCCTATAGAAATACAGGCTCTTATAGAAAAGTTATTGGCACCGCCACTGTTCCTTGTAAAAGACAGTGTCCACAGTCTTATGTGGAAAGGGAAGGCACAATTACGCTCTCATGTATACTCAGTGAACTCCTCCCATATGAGGACTGTTGGTCGATTGCAGTGTACGATCATCAGGCATCAGACACCAGCTGTACTTAGGCAGGAGTGAAGTGCACCTTTAGTTACCCCAGGGCATGGGCAGAGGCAGGAGCCTGGGGAGCTTTAGAGTCACATAGGCACTCAGGGCGGTTAGGCATTACCAGGGCTAGCAGCAGGCAATTGCAACTTGTCATACTGGGCAGATTGGTCAATGATACCTACACCCTGCCATAGGCACCAAAACCATTTATTGCAACTGGCCCTGTGTGCTGTCCTGGTGCAATAAAATAAACGGACAGTATGAAGCCTCTGCTGCCCTTCTGCTTTTTTCCCTCCCTGTGTTTTCAGGTATGAGATATCATAAAAATATGTCTTCTAGTTGAATAGCTCGGGTATAGAAAAAAGAGATTTCTTAACACAGATTGAGGACAATTTGGCTGTAGATTAGACTAAACTGTTCTGCTTACTGATTCCCTCCTGAATGCTTTCTGAAAATATTATTTTTCCAGAGCACTTGTATATCTGTCCTACTCGGTTTTGGACGGACAAAGAAACGAATGTCTTCACAGCAGCTAGGCTCACTAAAGAACTAGCTTTCTGTGTTTGCAGAGAATCAGGCAGATTGTTGCATTTCCCAGGAAGTTTGATAGTTTGACTTCTCAAGGGCATTTATCATTTTTTGTTAATAGCTGCTCAACAGTTTTAACTAGCCAGTAGAGGACAGATTTAATTTGTAAGTCGTGGTTTAAACAGTTACTATTCATGTAGTGTAGTGGAATCTGAGAAAACTCTTTATGCCAAAGAGAGTTCCAGCACAGGTAAAACTTGCTGAGGAATGCAACTAAAATAAATGCTTCTGAGACGCCATTTCTTTTTTAATGTCAATTAATGGATACATATTTTGATAGAACGTAATAAACAAAGGTGTTTTGTTAAAAAGCATGTCAACTACCTTTTTATCTTTTGACTCAGCGGCATTTGTTATTATCATAAATGTATGTCTTTTGTTATACGGGGAACAGTAGGCTGCAGGCAGTTTACAAACACCAGCATGGAAGTTGGAATGTGCAGTACTCATTATCAAAAAAGCAAGCGCAGCCTTTCCTCATATGCTCCAGTCCTTTAATCATCTTAGTGTCAGCTAGCGATGTCTATGTGACAGCTGCTTATGAATTAACAATAGAGCTTCTGTGGCACAGTGTAAGAGAAAGCAAAGGTCCCTGCACTGTTTCCAGCCTGACCAGAAGCTTTTCTATTTGGCCATGCACAGACCTTACATATGAACAGTTGCAATTACTGTCTATTTCTAATCCAGTTCAAACTTCTGGTTTGCCAGTCTGTTTTACAAGTCTGTAAATAATTTCTTTCTCACCTACCATTCTGTTCTGTCCTGCTGCCCACCTTGCTTTCTACACTTTGCCAAATCTTATCTCACCTTCCCACTCTTGAATTCGTGCTTTCCTATCTTCTGCCTCTTGTACTTGAAGAAGTCTCCCACTTTCCATCTGCCAGCTGCCTTCTTTTCTTTCTTCAGACCCCAGATTTCAGGATTTTGTCCCAGATAATGATATCTCCACAGTTTCCCTGCCTGAAGTGTTTTTTCCTTATGGTTTGCAGAAGTTCTTGTCTGGCATTTTCAAAATCCCATTTGAACCACTGATGCCACGGAACTGAGAAGCATACTTTATACTTACCATGTATATAATGTAATTTATATAGGTAATCATTTTAAAACAGTTTGGTTAATTCACATTGAAACAGTTAAATCTTGGAACAACATGTACCTATATGGTATAGCCTGTTTGCGGTTCCCGTTCCCTGTTCTAATGACCGCAGAGCCAGCAGATTATTTTTCTTCTCAAGTGTTAAGTCCTGATTAGCGCTACTAATTTTTCAGGACTCATGGTTTTTCCTCTGACTTGCTCTTTCACTGTGGGCCTTTCACTGGGGTGAGATTCATCTCATCTAACTTCAGCTATATACCGTGTAGTCATCTACATCAGAACTAATTCTCCCACACCCCAGTTTTAGGTGCGATTCTTCTGGCCTGCTTTAGACACATGTTCTATTTTAGTAGGAGACAAGTTTTACTCTACAAATGTCTGTTTTTTCTATTGACAATGGAAAGTTGTCTAAACAAGTTATTGACAATGGAAAGTTGTCTAGACAACTAGCTGGACATTCAGTCATATGAATGATTTTGACACTCAGTGCTTTTCTGGGCCTCGTTTTCCCTATTTATAAAACAGCTGAGTGTTTTGTGAGACTTAATTAGTGGCTGTAGAACTAAGTAATTTAGATTTAGTGATTTCCAAGTAATCCAGATAGAGTGGCAGAAGGAGGAATCTAGCTCTGTGTGCTCTCCTGCTCTTGACAGATCCATAATCGTATGCATCTGTATACATGCATATTCATAATGCCAGATTAATATTAAAAGACAAGTAGAAACTTTTAAATAATAAATTTACCATTTTTTTCTACTGGAATATGGCAGCTGGGGCACGGCTTGGTTGTTTTCTTGATTGTTTCTCTAGATGCCTCTTCCCACCGGGCTTGCGCAGCGGCATGTTCATCAACCACATATCCCTGCAAAAAGAGAGAAAAAAACCTATGGGCTCAGTACTGAAAGGCTGTGCTGTGACACAGTGTCTAACCTAAAGCGATAATTATTTACCCATGAGAAACAGACAGGAAGGGCTTCAAGGCCAGTTAAATTGGACTTTACATTTTGAAGCAGGAATTTTGCAGCTATCACAAATTTATTTTTTGACGGTGTGCACAGTGCATGAGTTGGGCTAGGCAACAGGCTCACCCTCCAGGCCCAGGGCTGTGGGGTGGCTGGGGAGTGTGTGCCGTGCTAGGGTCCCTCATGCAGCCAGCTATAGCTTAGGCTGCATCTTCTGCCCTGCTCCCTTCCCCATGTGGCAGGCAAAGCTTGAGGACACAGCAGGCATCAAGCTGTGCTGCAAATGGACAAGGTCAGGTAAAGAAAGCAAAAGGCAAGGCGAAGCAGGAGTCAGAGGAACCCCTCTGAGGTGTGACATCTTAGACACCAGTCTGCCTTGGGATTTTAATCCCTTCTTGCAAGAAAGGCAGAAACACCAAGACAATGCAATGCTTTCATAGTGCAGAATGGTGGGGTCCCTAGAAATAAACTGGTTTTCATAATAAAGCATAGTCCTTTGTTTCTGAGGTCAGATTTTATTCAAACATAAACCTGCATAGTCTGCTGAGGCTTTGTAAGGCACAGAGAAGAAACATAAAAATTCTGAAAGAGAAGGAAAAAGAAACCAGTGAATAACAAGAACAGCTATCTTCCCAGATGAACAATACTGACAGAAAAAGTCATCATGGAGAGAGTTTTAAAAGGGACTTCAGGGTTTGCCCTATTTATGACTGGGCCAAAATTACATAATCTACACAAATGTCCTACTTCACAATTTCCTACTTAAAATGGTAATACAAGGACAAAAGAGATGGCAGTACCTTGAGTAATTTCAATCACACAAGGTTGGAAACTGTGGATAGTAGCTATATACAATGTATTTAGGTTCCAGCCTTGAAGCTCTGCTCTATCTGTTTGTACTGTGAGTTTTTTCAAGTACGTGGGAAAATTATGAGCTTAAACTAAGGCATATTATCTGTAAAAATTCCTGCAGCCTCTTTGTGTTTACATGTTCCAAATACTTGTACATTGTTCTGTGGATAAACTTTTTATATTTATTTACATAGGTTTTTTTTAATATTTATTTGTAACAAGACAGCAAAAGGAAATTGGCCCAACTTTGAAATGTATAACACAATTTTCACTCCTATTGATTTATCCTCAGCTACTATTAAGCTTGTGACTTGTGCTGTCAGTGCATGAGACCTAGATTTTATTCCTTGGCTGAAGTCAGCAGAGTAAAGATGGAATAACAAAGAGCAACATCTTGTGAAATTCATTTCTAGCTCATCTAGAGGCCATCGTGACAAGCAACTTAAAAAAATCAAACCGCTTTTAATCAGGAAATGTCTAAAACGTGTTTATGCTATTATTCTTTTATTTTACTACCTAAGTTAGTCCCTCAGCCCCTAATCCCTTTTGTTGGTCCTCACTTAGTATTCTGCAGTTTCCATGATTTTTGATGTAGAGGTGACACAAGTGAACAAAGTCTTCTCAGCTCTGTCCCTACTGCTGGATAGGGAGTTAGTACAGCTCAGGCTCTCCATGCTACTGAATTATTCAGCAATTAGGAGGAATGTGCCAATATTTTATATTTGTATCTGAAGCCTGACTTTTAAGAAAGCCCAGCAGCGTGCAAACAGCAAAGCAGAATTCTAGGGCCGCTGCAGTATGCTGAGCAGTGTCCTCCCACGTAGAGCTCTACCATCTAAAATGCCCTCTACAGAACGGTACATTAGCAAGTTCTTGGAGATAACAAAAGCTACTCAGGCTAATAGCAAAGAAAGAACCTGATCTTGCAGAACCATTGATCTTGCAACACCTTGATCTTTAAAGAAGAAAGACTACAGGGAGCAGTCCGAACACAAGGTGAGGAGAATGGGGAGTGTTTGACCTGGGCCTCAGTTTGCTCAGTGATAGGAGGAAGATGATGTTCATTTCAGCTGGTTGTAATGGGAATTAATCACTTAATGTCAGTAAAGATTATTCAAGATAAAAATTACTGTAGCAGTGAAAAAGCATATTGCTACTATTTTCAGAATAATATCTACACAAGAGGACCAGATATACTTTTAATTTTTGTATTCAATCCAGAAGAGCTTCACGGTGGCTATGTTTTTCCCAAATAGGCCAAATCCAAACTGTATGATTCAGTTCTTGCAAACATACTTTTTCCACATCTTCATGTATTTGTTCTGCACTAATAGCAAATGAGACTGAGGCAAAATTTCACATGCCTAAATGCTAATTTGATTTGTATAAAGATATTTGATCTTAGTTTTGAAAACAAATACAAACTTGGGAGAGCTTAGAAATAATTAAAATAATCAAGTGTAAACCACACATATACAATTCACTGAGGAAGAACAAATTGATGAAAACAGCAGAGTACATTATCATATTAATGTTTTCCATTGCAAGCATTCCAGCATGAAATAGATGCAGCAGCGTGATATTTTCAGGCAATTAGAGCTGAAACTTCCTTTCTATGCCCAGTCTTGCTGAATGAAGAGTTAAAAACTTCCTGCTGCAGAAACCAAATACAGAGAAACGGTACAGGGTGACCTGAGTCCCTCTGATTCAGTAAAGAAGTCATACCATACTGATCAATCAGCCTCAAGTGTTCATGTGCTTTACATAGTGCTCCAGGTACAATATCTGCAAGCTCGCATATATTTTATTTTCATTTTTAACTCAATTGAAAAGGCAAGTTGCATGGTAGGACCAGCTTCTTGAAAACATTGAGGACTCTCTCCATATTCTTCCCTACAAAGCCCAGATGAGAATAAGAAGCATTTTTCACAATGGTAAGATGCATTACCTAGTGTCGTGGGTTATGAATTGTGAGAGCTCAATTTCCTAAAACAATAATTTAAGGAAAACAACACATTTTATACTATCACTCAGTCACATTTCAAGCCTTTCCCTTCCTGCCCCTTTTTAAGCCACTACATGATATCATATCCATCAAGCCAGGGACGGAATCCACTGCTTTGCTATTATCTTTGTCAATGTTCTGATCAATAAGTATCTTGTGCTTTAAGAATGATGCAGACTGTCACTATAACATGCTGAAGAAAGACTTTGATTATTGTAACACCATGATGTATGTCTGCCAGAGCCCTTAGGAATTGCTTCTTGTGTTCACAAAACCGTTTGGAGAATTTTCAGATGGTCATGGATAAGAGCTGCTTCATGCTAAAAATGTGGCTGTTCTACCCCTGTTCGCATTCCAAAAGAATATTTTAAAGGAAGATCACGATCTTTGTCTCTGCAAGAGACAGACATGAATGGGGCAAAAATGAAGGAAATTGATTAGTTCTGAGAGATAAAGAAATAACAAATAGACAGAAAGGTTTCTAATTCCAGTTTATAATGCTGCTACAGCTCTTCTTCTCATGTATTATAAAATTGTTGAGGTCTTCTGATGGTAATATAAGCCACAATACATAGAATGTCTTATAACTGTCAAATAACCCAGTAAAATGCACCAGAAAATTCAAATTCCTGCTTCCTGCTGCTGAATAAGTATTTGTCTCCATGTTCTTATTTGCACTCAATCTATGACAACAGAGTTTTTCTTAATTTCAAGTTTTTATTATCAGGCTGAGTCTGAAAGGATGAAATGAAGAATCAAGATCTACACCAAATAATAGAATTTTCTTTTATCTTCCATCTTCAAGACCATACTCTGCCAACAAAGGGACTTTTTTTATTTTTGACAATGCACTTGAAAGTTATCTTACTGGCCCCACTACACTGCAGGAACAAACTCGGGTTTGCAATGGTAGTAGACATTAGAGTTCTTGACACTATAGCTAGCTACAGGACATGCATGTATGAATGTAAATCAGAGAATACCAGCCAGTAGGTCAGTAGGTATCACAGCCGCATTCTCCACTGAATCACAAGGGATTTTTCACTAGAAGAGAATCTCAGAGAAAAGAAATCATGGGCAAGGTGTTCAGCTGGAATAAGTCTACAGTTTGTGCGTGTGTATATGTGTATGTATGTATATAGATGACTCATAGATCAATAATTTTCAGAACTGGAGGAAATTCATGCCTGACTTATCCAGGAGGCACAATTCTAAAAACTAAAAGTTCTTTACTACCAGTGTCTATTTTAATCACCTTCTTCCATCCTAAGCTAGCAAACCTAATCAACTTGACAATCTCCGAGCTATAATAGATCAGATCTATCAATCAGAGGTTGCTCTCATGTTATTTGGCCTGCCTGGTCTCAGATTAGAGGCTGTGCATCACATGCCAGCTCATCTAGGACAGGAGAGTACAATACACTTGTGATGCCAACCCCATAATATGCTCTAGTTCCCTCATTATTACAGAATATTTGTCACAGCTATTGTGGAAAACTACTAGATTCTCTCCATACCCCTCCGTGATTCATCCTTTTTGATTCTTAGCTGTGCTGCAGATTAAGACCAGGAGTCAACATCCACAAGTAACAGGAAGCTACAGTACAAGCTGTTGCAAGCGTTATTCAACATCCTCTCTGCGACATCCCCTTAGAGACACGGGGGAAAAACTCTGTCTTGGTATTTTTGGGCCACGCTGAAGGGCCACTCAGTTTTTCCAAAGCACTCAGCATAGAAACAGAATAGAAATAAACCTAACAGGGACAAAGAGACCACAGAGACTGCTGAGCACCATGCTGCAATATAAGAACATATACATGGACAGCTCTTTATGCAGTTAATCAATATCAGCCATTGTGGCAAAAAGTGCTACAGAGACAAAAAGCATCTCAAAATAGAAACGGAGCATCATTCTTAGAGTAGCGTCTCGTTCAGGTAATAGAGTATACATCGACTGGTCGGCAGAATACATGCAGCAAACGAGCATATCTGTTCACAGTCAGCAACTAAGCAGTACCATCCAATAATACCATAATGACATTT